CCCCTGGGGGCCCCTGGGGGCCCCCCGGGGGGCCCCTTAGATGTAAAGAAATAAATAACATTTTAGTTAAATAAAAGAATATCCAGAATAAATGGACTTATTGATTTGTTTGGGAATGAAATTCGATGGGATTTCAAAAATCAAACCCTAAACCCTAAACCCTAAACCCTAGAAGCCGTGGGAAAGCCTCAGCTGTGCCGCAGGCTTTACTTTCTCAGCGGATACGCCTCTGCCTAGAAGCTAGGGTTCAGGGTTTGGAAAGAACTAGGGTTTAGGGTTTATGAGGTTTACAGGAAACTAGGGTATACGATCTACAATAAACTAGGGTTTAGGGTTTACAGGAAGCTAGGGTTTAGGGTTTACAGGATGCTTTTGGTTTAGAGATTAAAGTGAGCTGCAAGGGTTTAGGGTTTAGACGTAGCCAGAGATGTAAAAAAAGGGGTTTTTTGCTCCTCAGAAAATAAACAAATAAACGGATAAACAGATAAAAGGTTTAGAGGGTTTAGGGTTTAGGATAAACCAGCCCGCGAACCCCAAACCCTAGACCTTAAACCCTAAACCCTAAACCCTAACCAAGCAATTAACAAAACAACAACTCGCCCTCAGACACCGCCCTAGATGAAAACCAAATAGACAAGCAAACAAACAAATAAATAAATAAATAATAAATAAATAAAATAAAATAAATAAAATAAAATAAAAAAATAAATAAATATTTAAACACCCTCGCAAACAAGTTCAGATAAATCATTTTTGTCTTCGGTGCCTTTGCTCCCCTTGAAGTTCCAAAGGCCATTTTCATTCTTTGCAAACTCCCTAAACGCAAACCCTAAACCCTAAACCCTAAACCCTAAACCCTAAACCCTAAGTCTCGCAAGCGTAGAACTGCGCCTTGAATGGCGCCGAACAGTCCCCAGCCATTCCCATAGTCCCCAACTAGGCCCTAGGGTTTAGGGTTTGGAGCTTAGGGTTTAGGGTTTAGGGTTTAGGGTTTACCTGAGGAGTTTGCGGAGGGTGAAGTCTGGCAAAGCGACTTTTCTCTGCATGTCTGCTTCCACGGCCTAAAAGGAATTAAACACAAAGATAAAAAAGAAATAAATAAATAGATAAATAAATAAATAAATGATAAATAAATAAATAAATAAATAATAATTAAAGATAATTGATTAATTGACCACTCAAAAGGTTACCGTTGCATCGGTGTAAAGGCGCTGCAAGTAGGGTTTAGGGTTTAGGGTTTAGGGTTTAGGGTTTAGGGTTTGCACCTCCAAAATTTTGTTTTTGGTGTTGGGCGGATTTGAACTGCTGAAGACTTTAATGAGAGAAGAACGAACAGCATCTATTTGAGGGTTTCCCAGAGAGTTCAAAACCCAAATGCCGCTGCAACACAAACCCTAAACCCTAAACCCTAAACCCTAAACCCTAGGCCATGCGCTGCGAGCCCTGCCTCCGCGTGTAGCAGCAGGGAAGCAAAGAGAGCTGCACAGAAGCAGCAGCGATACCGAAACACCTGAAAACCCCAAACCCTATACCCTAAACCCTAAACCCTAAACCCTCACTTGACGTGCATGGCGTTGTTGACCAAAACCCCATTAAGCTGCTCGTCAGTCAGCCAGTCTCTCTTTTCTTTTAATTTCTTTTTTATTTGTTCAAAAGATAAACCCCCAAAGTCCGTCAGCAGCTGCTGCACTTCTTTTCCCATTTGCTGCACTTCTGCGGAAGAAGCAACAGCGCCTGCAGCAGCGACAGCAGCAGCAGCAGCGGCAGCGGCAAATTTCGCAACTCAAGCGCAGCAGCAGCAGCAGCAGCAGCAGCAGCAGCAGCAGCAGCAGCAGCAGCAGCAGCAGCAGCAGCAGCAGCAGCAGCAGCAGCAGCAGCAGCAGCAGCAGCAGCAGCAGCAGCAGCAGCAGCAGCAGCAGCAGCAGCAGCAGCAGCAGCAGCAGCAGCAGCAGCAGCAGCAGCAGCAGCAGCAGCAGCAGCAGCAGCAGCAGCAGCAGCAGCAGCAGCAGCAGCAGCAGCAGCAGCAGCAGCAGCAGCAGCAGCAGCAGCAGCAGCAGCAGCAGCAGCAGCAGCAGCAGCAGCAGCAGCAGCAGCGGCAAATTTCGCAACTCAAGCGCAGCAGCAGCAGCAGCAGCAGCAGCAGCAGCAGCAGCAGCAGCAGCAGCAGCAGCAGCAGCAGCAGCAGCAGCAGCAGCAGCAGCAGCAGCAGCAGCAGCAGCAGCAGCAGCAGCAGCAGCAGCAGCAGCAGCAGCAGCAGCAGCAGCAGCAGCAGCAGCAGCAGCAGCAGCAGCAGCAGCAGCAGCAGCAGCAGCAGCAGCAGCAGCAGCAGCAGCAGCAGCAGCAGCAGCAGCAG